GGGATCAAAGGCTCACTCCCCACCCCAGATGGCAGTGGGAGTTTTTTAACTTCACACCATCTTCCCAGAGGCCCAGATTCCATCACCAGTGCAGATGAAACCTCCCAACCTACCTTCCAAGTCTTAAGGGTCCTTGCCCCCCACTTAAACAAACCCCATGCATCTCCTGATCACCTTGGCCTGGACCTCCACCCCCCTCAGGTACCTGTCCGGGGCTAAGGCCACAGGTAGAGGCAGAAGACAATCCTGAGGCCGAGTCATGCTGGTCTCCGCACTGCACATTAAAACACGCCTGGCCCGCTCATTGAGCCCAGTGCAGCCGGCATTTCTCTGCCCACATATGGGTCAGGAGGCCTTAGTGGCTGCGGGAGTCAAGAGCATCCATCCTGACCTGGGATGTGACAGAAGCAGCTACTACTAGACATTGGACCACCGGTCCTCCGGTCCTGTTAACCACGGCCCATGGTGCTGCCTCATAGCAGGTGTTTGCCTGCTTCTCAGACCCGGGCCCCCAAGTCTCCTCCTCCCAATTTGGCATACCCCCCCAGGCTGAGGCGGTCCAGCCGTGGCCAGCTTCGGTGAGCACAGTCCCGAGCGGCTGGGGCCCCCAGGAGGAGCTCCCCAAGTCCCAGATCCAGAGACTTGGAATGTTCAATACAGGAACCAGAGGGCTGCACTGTGATGATCACGTGGCCAGGCTGGGTTCGGGGACCCCACGGTGGGGGCAGCCCCGGGCCCTTCAGCGGGTAGCTGTTGAGCAGGGCAGGTAACCCCAAGCGAGGATTAGCAGGCTCTGAACGCAGACTCCGCACTGACGGGACGGGCGAGGTGCCCCGATGCGGGGACAGGTCCCAACTTTCTGGCTCTGCGCAGCCCAGGGCTCCGGCAGTCCTGGGCCCGGGGCTGGGGAGGAGGGCACAGTCCCGGCCCGGGCCGTCGGGGGGCCGCAGGGCCTGCGCCCGCAGCACCCCCTGGCGGAGCCGCCTGGTCTCCAGGTCTCGGTTCTCATACAGAAGCGTGTTGGCGCAGATGAACACGAACAGGCCGACGCCCATAATCACCGGCCCCAGCAGCCGCAGCCGCTCGTGCGGCCCGTGGGCGCGGCCCGCCCCGCGACCCTCGCGTCGCAGCTCGCTGACCCGGGGTGAGCTGGCGTTGGCGGCCCGGGGCCCCGGGGCCCCCGCGCGGTGCGGCCAGTAGCCGGCCACGGCGATGCCCATGCCCACCAGGACCACGAGCGCCCCCAGAGCCGCGAACGCCCCCGACGGCGAGCGCAGCCGCAGCCTCGCCCGCACCCGCAGCGGCTCCGGCGGGGAGCGCGGGCGCCGGCGGCGGCCCAGGCGGCGGCCCAGGCGGGAGACGCGGCCCTCGGGGCTCCTCCGCACCTCCACGCAGTCTCCGGGGCTCCCGGCCGTCATCTCCCTGTCGTCCGGGCGCTCTGCGGAGAGAAGACGGAAGGCGGGGACTGACCCGACGGACCTGGGTGGGGGGGAGCTCCAGGCTCGGGGCCCAAATCGGGGGAGGGGGGAAGCTGGGGCCGCCTCGCCCCGGCCGCTTGGAGATCCCTGGCGGCCACCCCCGGATTCTCCCGGGCTGCGGGGCCCTGAGCCGCCCCCGCCCGGGTTTTCCGCAGCGGAGCTCGGCGCCAGAAGCCGGAGTTGGCCGGGCCCGCGCGCGGGGAGCAGGGAGGGGGCTGCGGGCCGCTCCCTGGCGCAGCCCGGGCTGCGGGGCTCCGCCGCGGGAAGCGTGGGCCCCGGCGGCCGCGTCTCGCCGGTAAGTACCGCCCGGGCTCGACCCCACCCCCGCACGTGGCCGCACCGTAGTAACGGAGAGGGGGGGTGGGGGGCGCCCGGCGCGCACGGGGCCGCGGGGGTCGCTCGCGCCGCCCTCCCCGCGCCTTACATACCGCAGCGTGGGAAGGAGGGGGTGTCACTGACTCCGGCCTCGCCTTGCCCGCCCCCTCCTTCCAGACTTCCTCAGTCAGCACTGGAGCTGCAGCAGAAGAGACTCGAGCTAGACTCCGGGAAGACCGCTCCGACCCAGACCAGCCAGTCAGAGGCGAGGAGGCGGACGCGGTCTTGGTCCAGATTCCTTCCAGTCCGCCCGAGGAGGCCTCCCCACCCCCCAGCGGCCGGGCCGGAGGCCGGAGCCGGGTGAAGGGGCCTCGCCGGACGGACGGACTCCCCTCCCGGCTCTCCCGTCGGCCCAGGCACGGCTGTTCCCAGATTGCGGCGTTTCCGATTCGGGCTCCTGGATGAATCATCCCCCCCTTTTCCCGCCGCCTGGCCTCCTTTTCCAGCCTCCTCCGCCCGAGGCCTCAGTGGACCTCGTCCCGGCCCCAGCAGCACCGCCCTTGCGGCCCCGGGGTCCGGGGCTCGCGGCTCGGTCCCTTCCCGGCCAGCTGGGGCAAAGGCGGCCGGACTGTGCGTTTATGGCCCCCCACGAAAGGCAGGGCGCGGGCCTCGCTGTGCAGCGGGGCGCCCTCGCTCCCCAGTCTGGTCTGTGAGCGACCGAGCGCGGGGAGCCGGGGCCCAAGCGCGCGGAGAGGCCTTGGCGCCCACCCCGAGCCGCAGCGCCCGGCGGGCCGCCCGGGCCGGCCTCGGACGGCAGCGCCAGGTCCGGCCTAACGCGGAGCAGCGGCTCCCCCGCCCCAAACCTGGTTTCCACCCGTGGAACCCGCAGCTCCGAGCGGCGCGGGGCAGCCGGCCGGGGTCCCGGCACTTCTGGGCACAGCCGCAGGCGCGATCGGGAGCAGCCAGGCCTGGTTCCCCATTGTCCCCGAGTGTGGAACCCCATCCCCAGCTCGGAACTAGGAAAGCGGCCCCCGCCCCCGCCGCACGCCGATGCTGGGGCCCCACTGCCAACTTCGTGGCGGCCGCTGGAGCCGAACGCGTGCCGAGCACTGACGTGAGGTCCGGTTCCGAGGCTCCGGACTCGAGGGCGCGGGGCACGCTGCGGGGAACCCCGGAACCCGGCCGGGAACGCGGGAACGCGGCGGCACCGCCCGTGCCCAGGTCCCGAGAAGTTGCTCCGGGAGCCGAGCGCCCTGTTCGCCGGGGTCCCGCCGGCGCCCGCGCCCCCTCTCGGGCCTAGGGGAAAGGGAAGGCCGGGCTCCCGCCCCCCAGGCCCATCCCAGGGGAGGAGCCAGGCAGAAAGTTAGGGAAAGTGGTGTTTGGGGGGGCGGCACAGCCCCCAGTTCTGCTCACCTGACGCCTCCGTGCCCGGCCCGGTCGGGGTCCGAGTCCGCGCGCGGCGGTTCCGGGGCCGCCTGGGTCTCCGCGGAGCCCCGCCCCGGCCCCGCCCCGGCCCCGCCCCCGGGAGCCCCCGAGACCCCCCGGAACCCCGCGGGGCGCCGCCAGCCGCGGCCGCTCGGGCCCCTGGGCCGCAGGTGAGCGCCGCGCGCGCCCCGGGCGCCCCCCGAGGGCCCGAACCCGCGCCCTGCGCCCCCCGCTGCCCGCCCCAGCGCACATGCTGCGCCCCGACTTGGGAGGGCGCCCCCCCGGGCTGGAAACGGACCCCGAGTCCAGGATTCCGCTACCCGACCCGCGGCCCCAGCCTGAAGACGGTGGACCCGCACTCCGCGCCCGCCGGCCCCCGTCCCCCCGCTCTCCCCGGACCCCTCGGCCTTTCCGCAGCCCCAACCCCGCCGCTTCATCCGCGGAGCGGGAACCACGCGAGTGCAGGGGGGCCGGGCAAGGGGCACCCCGCAGAGCCGACCCGGGCGCCCCGAGCCCTCGGCGGCTGCAGCAGCCGGGCAGGACCCGCCGGCTGCCCCGGGCTCCGGGGCCCGCCGCCCCGGGGCGGGAACGCGGGTGCGCGGCGGGGCCGGGCGGACCTCCAGTTTCCATGATGCGGGGGGCGGGCTCGACGGCGGGGCCCTCGGGATAATTTCCGGCCTGGGACTGATTAGAAGCCCCCCCCCGCCCCCGCCGGCCGCGGGACCCCCCGGCACGCGGCGCGGGCGGGGGATGGGCGCTAATGAGACCCGGCTGCGGCCGCGGCGTGCGGCGCGGGGCGGGGCGCGGGTC